AGCTATAATCAGATCAGGACGAAACCATTTTGTAGTTAATAAAAACTCCGGTATTCGCAGTATTACATTGGTATAATGTCGGGGTCGAAGACTTTGTTGAAGGAGGGAGGAATGTAGCGGAACTGGACTGGGTCGATCGTTGACGACCAGGTAGCGCAATTGTTTAGAGCGTTAGTCTAGAGTTTGGAGGGTTCTGGATTCAAACCCAGGTCTGGACGTTGCATTTCTCTTTCTCTTGTTTCACATCTAATATACATGTGTGAAAAAAGTTAATCACTTAAAAATGGCGAGGAAAACTATAATGACAAATTACATGACAGGAAAAGTTACTACTGAGAGGTCAGAAAGAAAATCATCATGTCTCTAATTATGCGAACTTTCTGTAAACGGAATTGCTACGTTTTTGACGGTCAAACATGTAACACAATGACAGCTTCAAATGATATACATTAATTAGCGAGAAATCTGACTTTGCATGCTTTAGGTTGACATAATTATGCTTGCCTGTCCGAACTTACCCAATGCCGGGGCTCGTTCGGCCAAACGATCTTCCGACAAGAATAAAATAATTCTTCAAAAAAACGGACGTGCTGCCATATTTCCCAGAACGGACTTAAATAAAAATGGGCCGAACTTGCCCCGGTCTCCCCTAATTGTTATGTCGGTCTTAAAATCTCTTTGAGCTAGTGTTCTTATCACATTCTGAAAGCAATATTATCTAATTCTGAATCGGTAAATATCAGATCAACAAAAGCAACGCTCTTTTTAGGCTTTGCCTGTTCGTATTACGATAGAAAGTTTGAAAAGTCAGCTATTCATGCTACACGTACACGCAGACAGTCATTTATGTAATCACAAGAATAAGTTGTACGTAACTCACATGTACCCTAACGTTGCTAAACCTCTGTGATAACCATCGAAAGCGACTTACTGTCATGTAATAATCATACAACTAAATCGCAAGTAATCGACAGTATAATCACTAGTAATCATACAGTCAATTTTATCATAACAAGGTTAGCAAGTAACCATACAGTAGTCGTCGATTAAGAGCCACGGTTGTTCAAACTTCAGACATGAACTTAACAGGAATTTGCTTCGATTGTCTCCACATACACTCTTTATTCATCATCGTTTCGGAATTCGATCAAAATTATTATTGTAGAAATTAGATCGACTCGGATGCCAGCGCTATAAGTGATTATCAATATTACAATAATTGTAATATTGAGAATCACTTCACTATTAGGGCTCGCGCTGTCGGTAGCAAAAGGAGCCATTAACCTGTATCCTCACGTGTGTATTGTGGCTGACACTGATTGCGTAAACATAATCAGGGCCGTCACAGATCAGCGCGCGCTGTACGACTGAGTTAAATAATGCTTACGTCCAAGTTGTGAAGACAATTTTCAAGCTTCAGATTGCAACAGGTATTATAATTTGTGTACATTAATGGACAGTGGGGTCAAGTTAATTGGAATAAGGATGACCCATTGACGTTGAGAAAACAGTCTAATAAGCAGTCACACATAGGTGGATTTGCACACGTAAGCCGTAAGCCGAGCTGATCACCTTGTTACAAACACCGCATTCAAAATGTATGGGTTAAATATATTTAAATAAGTGTGCATGGTCTTCATTCATCTCTTTCCAGTACCGTAGCAAGCAGAAATGCTTCCGGTATACTTGATTAGATAGTATAAGTATCGCCTTGAAACACCATGTCGAATGTGCCGATTTCGGCCTTTCAGATCATAGGCCTATATATGACATTTTATCGGGTTCAAAAATAACTGCTGTATCCGTTTTGACTACTTATACCACGGAAGTCCGTGCTTATACAACATGGGTGGTAATTAAAAGTATCCAACAACGTGATTTATTTAACTCTCGCTTCGGTGATCGCTATTTCCGGAACGTATACAGTGCCGTTCGACCACAGTGGGGTTGTTGGAACTATAACATTCCAAATAACTTCGCCAGATTCTTGGGTTGGGGGTAACTTTTTGGTGCTTAAAAAAACAATGTTAATGTATGTGTCAACGAAAACGTGATTTGATCTTCAAGTTGAAAAAATTACGCGGGACCCGGCTTGTAAAAGAATAAAACAAGCTGTTCCGGGAAGTTACACAACTTCTACGGCAAATCCCAAATAATGTCGTGTTCTCAAAGTTAGATCCGGGGTAGTGTTTGCGAAACCACAGGGCACACTATACAGTTTACATTCATTGTCAAAGAAGGCAAAATAATATTCCCGATTTAGATCATGATGACGACCATTAAACTTGCCCTTATCCTCGCCTAACTTGCATCTCTTTAAACCCTTATGCATCTCTCGAAACTATTTTGGTTTAATAAGTATTTCTGTCAGAAATCGTAATGCCACTCTTAACTGATGTGGTTGTTATAGACGTTTCACTAGGGGGAATAACTCTTCAGTGACTAAAAGCACCGTAAGAGAAAAAGCTTTGCATCGGATAAGTGTTGTTAATTTAGTTTACTCAACAATTAACAAATTATTTCAGTATCGAAAAAGTATGCTTTGGAACAAGGACATTCATCGTCTGTAGCCCATGGTAGTCTCATTCCGTACCTTCACTGGTAATGTAAGGCCGAAAATGTATTTTTCAGGTAACCTGCTTAAAAAATAGAATAGGTCAATCTGATTAAAATACAGCTCCTTTCTACTATCGTATGATAGTAGAACGATAGTATGATGAGATTTTTTATTCTAATCAGATTGAGAATAGGTCGGCAGGGGTTAATTAATTAATTTTTTTCGTGTTGGGGGCTAATTAAAGAAATTACAAAAATCACCAAATAGTGTAATTCAGACCAATTGTATTTATTTCATTATATTCTTTTCAATAATATGGAATTTAAATTCAGTTTTGATTCCTCCTTATGAAATAGAAAGGTGTCATTAAACGCTAACGATTTTTGGCTCGTTCTAATCCAAATTGTTAGGGTCGAATGTAAAAACTAGGATCGGTCGGGGTACATTTAACGTCTAAACTTGCTGGTGATTGGAAAGTTTCTCTTTATTACAATCAAACACGGGTTACGACAATGCAGGCCATTATGAATTCAATGTTTTTGAAGATTGGCAAATAGTACCTATCAAAGGGTAAGACAATTTAATAAATTAGGTAAGTAAGATTATGGACGTTGCTTTTAATCTGTTTGTTAAGGGAATCAAATGCAATAGGAAGCTTCCTCAATGTTCAATCATTAAAGTCATGCCCTTTAGCATTCCTTACTTTTCGAACCATAGGTTATCCAAAATTTGGACCCCCGGGTTCATCATTTTCGAAGTAATGACATTGATCAGAGACAAATGTACCTTATATACTTCTATCTTTAAAAATCCTCTAACAAAACATTCGTCTAAAAACATTCTGAAGTCACAAGAAAAGGCACACAAAAAATATTCACTTATATTTAATCATTGTTATTGAAACAAAATGTATTTCGTGTGTATTGAAGATTTTCAGGGCATCACATAAATGAGTCCTCTCTTATTATTTCGTGAGAATCCGAGAATGTTTTGATAAGGGTATCTAGTACATATGGACTTGTTAAATTACCCATAGCCCATTAAATTATGTCTTTATAAATCTGATAAATAACAGGTTCTTCGTCTGAAATCATCATTAGCACCCGATGGACCATTAATGTTTTAGTAACATGTAATCAATTTAGATGTCTTAAATTAACTTAAGTTGTATTCATTTTGAAATTGATAATGAGTTTTATAAATTTATAAGAAAAAATGTAAGAATAACCTTGTTTATTTACACGTTTTAAAAAACACGCACGAAAAATAAATATACGCACGGTGATATTAGTATCGAATGCAGTACTGAACACAGTCGTAATTGGTTTCGAACGGACCTTGATGGCACACGCGCAAGTGAATATACCTCCTGGTTTTCTAACTAGTTGAAAATTATATATCGTCTTAGGCATATATATATAGACTCTATGAAATTCATAATCAGCTCATTGATGATGACCAATCATTACCCGTTAGGAACATCTATACGCCAAATAGGTTCTTCCGATTTTTTCTTCTTATTTTATGATAATATGTATTTGCACTATGCAGGTGCCCGTGTGACAAATAATATCATTAGAACACGTTTGTAAACATTGAGGTTTTTTATAAATTATTATAATTTATTATCATTTGCATTTCGTTCATTTCGTTAGCTATTAAGCTTCATAACGTGTTTGTTTTAAAGAAATAGACCTACTGTACGAAAGTCGTCGGGAAAATTAATTTTCCAAATTATTTATAGTATATAATGCCAATATAACTCTTCTGAAGTTACTAATTTAAATAGTTCACTTAATTGATTCAAATAAAATATTACGATATATAGTATTACTTCTGTGGAAATGTATTTTGGAAACTTGTTAATATCATCATTTTTACCTTCATTGATAACAATGATAACTCCAAAATATGAATCAATTCATGTTTATTGTACCACACTTCGCAAGCAACAGGTGTAATCCGCGAATCACAACATTACCTTTTAAGGCAAGCCCACCTGAAGGGCGGTTTCTCGTTACACAGATTGAAAAGGCGCCAAGTTTTTCTCATTATGTTTCTCACGTTGCGAGAGAAGCTTCTGTGTAATAAATTACACACCATGGTGTATGTTTAACGTTTGTATTAAGTCATTCTGTAACTGGTTGCAATGAAATTATATGAGGAGGATGCTTCGAAAATATTTACTCAATATACACTCCCCTGATTGCTAATAAGTGGGATGTCTCAAAAGCCATGTTATCTAAATAATTATTTGATGGTTATATTCATATCAGAATAGACATATTGTGATATACGTTATGGTTAGTATATTACACATTAATTGTTATATGTATGTGTTCAGAAATGTAATCCAATTAACAAATTCGAGTCTACAAAGTAAATATGTTCGAGATGAATGTCTATGAATGACCCAATCAAATCATTCGTTACAAATGATACAGCAATATTTTTGCACACGGCACATAGCGAACCCTCCACTTCCGTAAGCCAACCTTCGAACGGGCGTAGTGTATTTCGGTGAGAATACAAATACAAGTGGATTCGTACACATTGATTAGAGCAGTTTCGTTTATAATTTGATTCGTTTATTGGAAATTAACAAGAACGCAACCATGAGCAAACAGTGTGCAAAGTGCATGAAAACGGTGTTTCCAGTGGAGGAACTGAAATGTTTGGACAAGGTAAGCTTACACGGCTACCTGGCCGAGTTTACGATGAAACTATAAAACTATACTGACGGTTGATGGATAAACCCAACAGTAGCATGCCATTTTGTACCAAATTGAAGTCAATTTAGTTTTCATGTTTCGAGTAATAACATTGTGAAAGGTTTTGTATACAATGATGTCGAAAGAGGTATTATTTTAAGTCGCATTCCAATGCAACAACAGGTTATCATCTTGTCCCATCGCCTAAATAATGGGTCGACACACATGTACTGTTGGCCTCGTATTTCGGTCATTAAACGATGTCGCCAGAGGGGGAATAAACGACTACCGAACAAGTAATATACAAATTGATGATATGTAAAAGCTCAAAGTTGTAATGGTTCATTAACAATATTCTATAAGGCTAGGTCTCTAAGATTGTTTACATTCCAATATAACACATAACCACAGGATCTGAGTTTATTAAATGTTTTGCATTAATTACATTGAATAAAGTATGATAATGTTACTATACCTTGAAATATTATATTTTATTTCAGGATATCTTTATTTGTTAATGAGTAGGTTTGGTTGGGGGTCAAGAAGAGGGTGTCATATTAATTAAAGATACCACATCTTAGTAATGTATTTTCAAAAAGTTACTGTAATATTGGAAAAATTGGTAGCCATGAAATAAAATCTACTTGCATAGGGAAAGTGGAATCTTACACCACTGTTACATAAGTTGCACTGTATGGAAAGGATGGCTGATTGTAGGAGTTAGCAAGAAGTTACACCCACTGATGTGTATTTATAGAAAGGGTGGCCACACATCAGATACTAAAGGGGAGTTTTATGTACCATTTACTTGTACATCACCTTTCTCTGTATAATACCTGTAGGCAGTATATTGACGCCAAATAACTCACCAGCTTACTTAGCCTAGGTCTCTGTACAAAGTTTGACCAAGTGTCCTGTCCACTCTGGCATATATATTAAACAGTACGGAGATAAATATCTGGGAAAACAGGCTGTGATAAAATTTTGTTTGTTTTTCCTCTCTTCTCCCTACTTACAAATGAAAAGTAGCATTTTCAAATAAAGTATCAGTATTTTTCTCCCTTTTTTCTTCTTCAAGATTATGAACCGTGTAAGAAGGAGTATTACAATTTTATTTCGTCGTGAATGATTAAGATAACTGAATATCTTTGAAGACACATGCCACTCTCATTTCCTTGTAAGTTGGATATTAAAGATGATCATATGTACAGATTTATATGAATTAATGATTAAAATAATGGTACTGACAGTGACTCAGTATTAGCATTCACATGACAATGCAAAGTGTTGAATGTTTGCCAAGCATACAGAACAGATCCATCTGAGACACACTTTGACTGTGCTTTACTCAGCAAAGTAATTTGTGCTCAGTAATGTGTGTTGAAAATGGGGGGTCAACTTACACTATAAAGTTGTATCATCTCTCCTTAACTGCTCATGCATCACAGCCCTGGAGTGAATTTCCCACGGAGTACATATTTTGAATTTAACATTATCAAGGATTGAGATCAGAGCCTCAACTTATTAAATAATGTCTTGTATGGGTTCTTTTTCAGGAGAGTTCATGGTACATACTAGTACTATATATATACATTGCAAATTTAATCTTTACAATGTACCAATTCTACATTTGCAAAAAGTATTGTCAACATTTAATATTTCAAACTTTTTTTTCTCAAACATATTCTCAATAACACTAGTTCACTGTATAATGTATCACTTTGCCCTTGAAGCACCCAAGTTTCCTCTGAAATAGAATCACAATGAAAGACAATTTGTATAAAATATCTGAAGGTTAATGTACAATGTACCAGAGGTAAAGTACAATAAATTTGTAATATAAATCACAATAGTCACTATTCCGTCTTTGCGTATTGCAGAGTTATCTTCTCTTGAGAGCAGGTATTGATTGTTACGTCACTTATTTATGAGAGTAACGTCATCAATTTTTGAGAAAACGACGTAATTTTCTCGCACAAACCAATGACGTAACAATCAATACCTGCTCCCAAGAGAAGATAACTCTGCAATACACAAAGACGGAATAGTGTGGTCAGGTCTGTTGCTGCTGCCACTGTAACACGAAATTGAGTTAAACTGGAGTGTTTTCCCACACCTGAATTACCTTACCTGTCAGGTGTAACTCACTTGTATGCCACAATATGTTACCCTGTAATGCTGTGTTTTCTAGGTCATCTACAGTTTTGTTTACTATTAAAGACTAATGCTATTGGAATGTGTGGTTTTCAAGTTGATAACTTGATTTGCTTCCAAAAGGTTGGTTGTTTAGCTAGCATTATAGTGATTAAAATGTGTTTAAGGGATCAGTATATGTTTTAAAAAAGCTGTTCATTTTTATCATAAATAAGTAATGAAACATCATCATATTTATGACATTGCTTTATCTGCATCACTTCTTGCTGGCCCCCTTATACAGATCTATATCCAAGGAACAAAACCATTGGACCATGTAATTCTTAGTGAGAAAATTATGATTTATAGTTGTTGTTGCTTGTGCTGATCATATCCTCTACTTAAAGTACATACTTTAGATATGTCAATCAGTTGAACAACTGCATAGTTAGTGATATTATTTTCCTGTGATTGGTTGGAGCTGAAAGAAGTAACATTGAAGCTAGATTTTTTCACATGTTTTTGACCATGAACAAGTGGCTTCCTGCAGTCATCTTAAAACTGAGCGTTTACATATATTGATCTCCTGTCATGTGCAAACCTAAGCTGATCAGGAGCAGCTGTGTGTGCCTCTAGCTGTTGTACAAGGGAGTGTAGTCCTACTGCTCTGGTGTTTCCCTCTCCATCCAGATCCTTTGATCATAAGGTGGCTTCGTCATTAGTATCCACTGACTTGTCATTAAAACTATAAAGATAAAAATGTGTATATCAGACAGTCATTAAATATATCATGATGCTGGAGTTTAAAAAATTACTTTTGATATTGATCACTAGCAATTTGAAATAGACGGTTTTCAAATGATGTCAGATGTTTGTCATGTTAAAGGCTGCACCATTGATTACTTTAACTGTGAAAATACCAACATTTTAGAGTACTTATACGGGTATCAATTCTTGCACCGTGTCTTGAAATACAGACCTTGAAATGGCATAAACAGTGTTAACACTATCTCAGTCACATCAAAGGAGGACAGGACACACGATTCCAAGTGGTACAGGGGACAACTCGTGGTACAGGGGACAACTCGTGGTACAACTCGCTGGAATCGGCTCAACAGCATTGTTGTAACTTCATATACAATGATGACTTGTTTGGTCTCAATTAACCTGTGCTGTCCAATTGTTGGAAATGAATGTAAATAGGTTTGTCATCACTTCCTTTGCTTAAATAGGCATCGCCTTAAGTTTGCGTAAACAAAATCCTGTTTCCCCAGTGTGCACATCCTTTCAAACAGGAACAGCAAATGATAGTAAAACAGTGATACTCAGCCACACAGTTGTTTCTTATACAAATGTAGGCCATTTACCTACCAATGGAAAAATGTCCTATTACTAATAGTTTAATAAAAAATGTTCAAAGCATTACTAAAAGTTCTTAAGTTCATACGAGGGATGAATTTACCTTTTATGCTTGACAATCCAGGAAAATCGCTAAAGAGTAAAGAGAATGATACATGATATCTTTTCCTGTACACATGCAAGGAAACAACTGGGGGGTTAAGAATTCAAAGTACAGTACAATGAATCTTCATTGTTGATCAGCAAAAATAAGGTTTTGTTAATTCAATGGATGTATTGACTTAAATACAATACAAGTGTTGAGTTTTGGAGTTTGAGCATATTACAATAAACAAATATGTACAGCATGTTACATCTCCGATCAATGATCATCAATGGCAACATCTGCTCAGATGTTTTACCCCAAAAATGTTTTCTCTCATGATTCTTTTACTATAAAAACATCTTGTTCATGAAGTTGTTAGTGAGGAATTGAAGTTTGGCTTTGTACATGTATCTTTTAATCAAATTAAATTCAAAGTGAGACCTTATTGATTAATTTTATTATTTAGAGATCGAAAGAAAGATGAATACTTTGTAGTTTAATGTGTATGGCAGTGATGGGAAATTGTAAACCAAACTAATGGTCATTTTCTACTTTTCAACAACTACATTTGTATTTTAATAGACCCGTCCCTATTAATCTATATTGAATTTTCTCAAACATTACAAGCTGTTTTAATGTTGGATGTGCATATATATAGGACCCTTAAAGCCTGCTTTTCCTTATTCCTGGTCTGACTTTTAATGACAGATACAGTCATTGATTGAGACTTCACAGATGCTTTCACTCTTCCTTGTTCATGATTTTTATTGAAATTGTTAATGACTTAAGTCTTTAGTCAGATAATGACATCATTTGTGAAACTAGATGTAGATTAATCATTTCAATAGCCAATGGTTTTTCATATGGAAAACAATTCATATTACTTTTTTCTTACTTTCACAGTGGTACTGTAATACACTTTTAAATGCAAAAAACATCTTGGTTAAGATCATGAAGTTGAACAATAAATGTGAACTCCGACTGGGCCTGCATGCTAGCCTAAATAAACTTCCAGGCATGCCAATACATGTACATGGTTAACTTTTTCACTCTTGCTTTGCAGATCCACATGTTTATCTGATTGTGTCAACAGCGTTGACAACTTAACAGACACCAGATGTTAACTATTACCAAAACCATGCCCACTCAATTACAATAGTACCGGATTTATTCAAGTGGACATGTGAATGTTTTAAACTAGAAGACAGTCACATTGTCTAAATAGCAATTATATTAAATTTAGCCTAAAATGTGTTTTAATTGATAAAGTGTTGCGATCGCTTGACCTGAGAGTTATGAAAAGTACTCCAGAAATCATCATATCATATATTGCTCACACTGATTAAGTAGCCATTGTGTTAAGGCATTTAGGTAGTACAGTTAGCCAGAAGGCCAG